GAAACACTAGTCGAAGAATTGACACTAATAACAATAGTTAACACAAATTAAATGCTGAGATTTTAATTGACACATAACCAAAGTGTGATGTGGCAATAAAGATAAAGTGGATTTGGATCATGATATACATGTGTGATGCCACGTCGACATGCATGGAAGAAAAATATTTACATGGCTTGTTGCCAGTGGCTCGTGGGTATGCTTAGCATGGTTCAGTGCTCCTCTATCCACGAGCACAAGCGAACGACTGCACTCATACACACACACACAACAATATCCAAAAAAATTCTGTTTTCAACAAAAAAAACAAAAATTATCCAAACAGAAAAACGAAAGGAACATATGACTTCTAGATATAAGAGGTTTCTAAAATATTTACATGACTTTAAAATTCGATATTGATTTTAATAAGCTAGAAAGAATAAATCATTGTTTTTGGACACTTTTATAAAAATGAGCCGTTTGTAGGCAAAAATGATTCTGTATTTTTAGAAGATCACAAAATGCCATGTGGATTATTCAAAAGAGTAATCCATTTGCAATGTAAAGATTTGGGCCTGAGGATGTTTATGGTTTTAGACAAAAAAAAAAAGAGGATGTTTATGGTTTTTTTCTCTTTGCTATAAAAAAATGTGAGAGGCAGCAATGAGATGAAAATTCACGTGCCTAGGGTTTTGTTGTTAGACCGTGGCCGTCGGGGGAAGATGGTGGTGCATCAGTACTGATAGATTTCACGGGATCTGCATATATGATTGGAATGTAGACTAGGGGAGAGTTTGAACACATGACTGCATTTGCTAGTGAGAGTCTACGGTTGTGCTTGATACTGTTGCAAAATATCATTGCCATTTTCATTCAATGTTAAGTATAATTTTAATCAAATACTGTTATCGACTTGATAAAAATGTGGATTAAAATGCGTACATTATTATATTTTTCTTTATATGCAACTTGGAAATAATAGATTTCAGATCTGATATTACATCTAGTTTAATTACTATATGCTATTTTTATTAGGGATTATAGAAATAAAATAAATTTTTGGAGTAAATTAAAATATTGGCTTGGGAGTTGGGGACCAATACGAGGTTGGTAATGGTTATAGATAGGAAAACGTCCAAAAGGAGGGATTCTGATTTCATCAAAAAAGAATGTTTGGCAAAAATAAAAGACCCCACAAGTCCACAACTAAATTTATGGATCTAAGATCATCATTAATGGTGTCTTAAAAGTAAAAATGATTTAAAAATCATTTAATTAAGTGAACTCTCCATCAAAAGGTTCTATGGAAGAAACTTAATGAACCCTCCATTTAGGGTGTTTTTAATGTTAAAAAATTACTTAAGACTTTTATGAGTGTTTTGGATAATGATGATAATAGTCCACAAGAATATATGTTTCCCATTCTTACTTTTTGTCTTGTGGTTTTTTTTTAACTTTGATAAAAACTACATGAAAACATATACGGATATCCAAAAACAAAACGTCTGGAAACATATAAATATTTCTTTCTAAAATAGACATATGGAAACCTATATAAAATATATAAGATGTATAATATAATAATAATGTAAATATTTAATAAACATAAACATCTAAATCATATGAAAAAGTAGAATAATTAAATCAACACAAAATGAGTACATAAGTGTTAAAAATTTTAACTAGAGATAAATATTATACTATTTAACTAAATATTTATAAAATCTTTTTTATTCTCATTTTCATGAGTTCTATCAAACAAAACGCCCTCGAGTGAAAAGTCTTCTAAATCAAATATCTCAAAATTAGTTTCATCTAGTTAATCAAATTAAACATCTATTTACTCTATTGAATCAAACTAATCATTAAATCTCATCATACGTTGCCTAAGTATTAATTTATTATGTTTATAAAAACAAATGCAAGTTTCTGTCGCAATTTCAAACTATTTAAAAAAAAAAAAATCAAAATAGTGTAGTGGTTTTCCCATTTTCCAATTTTCCAACATACCTATGTGAAACGAACCCTGGATAGAGTTTCCAAGTAACCTAACTCACGATAGTCCAACATCATTTATATATTTTTTGCTTTAGAATATATAAATGGTCTCAAATCATGATAATAAATATATCAGCCGATAAAGAAGTGGCTTTCAACAAATTTTCATTGCATCGCTATAAGCTATTCCACTACACTATTTTGGTTTTATCTTTTTTTTTTCAGATTTATTTAAAGTTATAATTTAACAATAAATTGATTTTTAAATTTGATATATTTTCACTTAAATATAAAAATATGATTTACAATTTGACTTATCTTTATTTTATCCAGTCTTCGGTTTGCAGTTTTATTAAAACATAAAAATCAATTATATTGTTCTCAATACCGAAACAATAAATTTAGCTATGAGGGCTAGTGTTGTTAACTCGGTCGCCAACAATGGGAAATCTTTTGACGAGTCTTTATGCTGAGACAACAGGCTGTAATGGTGTCACTGTCCAAGTTTATTGGTTGATGAGAAGACAAGGTTAAAGCGGATGAGTCGTTTGGTGATATCACAAAGGCAGACGCTGATGCAAGCAAATAATGATGAAGCTTCGGATGAGAAGCAAGTGGGTTAAAAGGTGAGTATTTTTCTCATATGAGTTTTATTAGAGTCGTTTTTAAAAAATCACATAAAATGATGTAAAATGGAGTAAAGAAGTGTAAATATGCTACAACCAATTCTTCAGGTCAAAAACAACATCTCATGTCAAAATTCACAAGATATACATTTTTCCAAGTTAGACAACACATAAACGCCAAAGGTTGGAGGTCTTTCCCAACTTGGA